GATTAAATTAAGTTCTAATTGTTTTTCTTTGATTTATCTCATCTATTCTCATAATTAAAATGAAATTTAAGAAATTAATTGGTTACAAAGAACGAAGTTAATGCCAAACAACAATTATTTACAAAAAAATTCAATCACAGAGCTGTCGAGAGTTCTCGAGGTTTTCAATAAAACGCAGAGCAGGACTAGGTTGTAGTGGTTGTTGTGGTGTTGGAGTCGTCATTGTTTCGGAGAAACCCTAATCTTCATCTATTGTGATGGGGTTTTCGGCTGATGCTGCTTCCTCCCAAGGAAAAAGGAAGTCGTCGACTCGTTGAGCCACAAATCTTGAGTCAGGAATCTCGGTGTAGTTCATTCCCACATGCTCAGAAACTTCCTCCACCATTTGCATTTCTTCAAGTTGACTCTCTGTCATGGGTACTTGTGTCATATGATGCTCGTTGAAATCATTTTTCGCATCACTTCCCCCAAGTGCCAGACTTAGATTGGGATGTCCATTTGTGCCAGAAAAGCTCCAGAGACTGTTTCTCGCACTTTAATTTGTACTAGATCAGGCGAAAATTCAACAGAGTACATGAGGTTGTTGTTTTGCACTGAAAATATAATTTTGAGCAATAAGTTGGGTTAAAGAGTTAAAACAGGAGAGAACTGAGAGAGAGGGTAGCTGACGGAAGATAAGTTGAAAAAAAGGTATTTAGCGCTGAGGGAGAAGGTAGTTGGCGGTAGTTTAGTTGAAAATAAAATGACTTTTAGTTAGGGTTTAGGGGTACCTTCAACTGGTATGTGTGGGTTTGACCAATCAGAACTGAGTTTCCTTATTCGGATTGGAGTCGTGTTCAAATAGATTTCAGCTTCCTTCTATGGATTTCTTGGATAAAAGTTGGGTCCAATCGGAAACAAAGCTCCATTTTAGGCAAAATCGTTTCCAATTACAAAAATGTTCATTTTTGTTCTAGTTTTCGTATCCAATCAGAGGAGCCTTTCAAGGGCTTAAATCTTCCAAATAAGTAAAAATATACAAAAAAGGAATCGCAAAAATAAATGACCAAAAATTATTTGCTGTAAGAATAAGAAATATTGCCGATATAAGTAACAAAAGAATAGCAAACAAGTAGCATTTCCGTAATTTTTTTCCATGAAAATAATTGATATTTTTGTATGTAATTAATGAGAAATTGTTGATTTTTGAGTAGATAGTCAAATTTTTTCATTTTGATGTAAATTTAGGAATATAACTCAAAAATGATCTATTTTTCAAAGAAAGTCTCTAGAAATCTGATTCCAAACTTAATCAAGCAGGATTTTGAGCTTTGAAAATCCTTAAGGAAATGCAGGAATAAAGAACTTTGCTGGGGACGTTTTACAAAGTTGGGTATCGGGTAGGGGATAAAATTTTTTTTTATATATTATTGTACGACTTTTTGATTAATTTAAAATTCTCGACAATAAACAAAATTTTTTTTATTGTGAGGTGTAATTCAGCCGTAAGTTTAAAACTTTGATACGCAATTTGTGGATCAAAAGTAAACTCTTTGATTAAGCAAATTTCCCTAAACAGACCTTTACTTAGTCGGAGAACTATATTTTGGACAACATAAACGATCAAAAAATTGTGAAAAAAAAAGTCAACATCTATTTCATCAATGAGAAAATCAAGTGGAATTTTTTCTGTTTTCTTGTAGAGTGACTCGAAGAAGTTCAAATGTTTTTTGATAGACATTTTTCAAATAATTATTAAAGCTTTTAAAAATTGATAAACAGTGCACTTAAGAAAATGCTGGATTCTGATTTGATTGATATCCAACAAACAGTGATACCAAAAAAAATATTCAATTCTGGTTGTTTGATTTCAAAATTGTTGAATTATTCTTGAGAATAGAACTCAATTTTGATTGATTGGCCTTAAGTTTATTGAAAATTGCATGACCATTGATAGTCGATTCTGATTGGTTGATAGCAAAACTTTTGAAAAACTCCATGGTTAGATTGTTGGATGAATTTTATTTCAGCTAGGCTAAATAGCATATCTATTCTGATTTTCTTTCACGTTGAAAACAATTAGTTAGGAAATTTGCTGTGTTTAATCACTTCTATTCATTTTTTGGGGCTATTCAACTTTTTGTTTCGAAAAATGTGGGACATTCTAATTCTCCCAATTTTTTTCTTCTTTTTGAGATGCCGTCACTGATTAGAAACAAAAGCATGTCTTGAATGTGGCAGAGAATACACTCGCTTACACGCATCAAGGCATCGAAAGCACTGTGGCGTTTTGAAGTGCTCCATTTGTAACTTTTATACATTTAGCAGCGAGGAACTTACTAATCATATCAAGAAGAAGCATTATTCTTGTCAACATATTATTAAATTATGTGCTCAGCAACCTCAAAACACACTCCAAGAGAAGGTAAAATTGATATAATTTTAATAAAAGTTTAGTGGAAAGTACTTTGAAAAATAATTTTTACTGAATCTGAAAAGTCTATACAGTAAATTTGAAAAAAAATTCCGGTAAAAATTAAACAATTTTTTCATCATTATTGAAAGGTTCTGATTGATGATGAAACCAGCAACAATCGAGTTCAAATTGTCGTGAAATTTTCAATGGAAATCGATCCGAAAATCTTTACTCTACCATAAAAACTCCATTGGTTGCAAGCTTGCGGAGATTTTGTTGCGACAAATTTGTAGTGAAAGTGAATCACATACGCTAATGAGTGCTGAAGTATTTGTTGAAGTACTATTAAAAACTGGATATTTATAAAACATCGATCAATTGAAAGGTTTTGCCTAGTGTCCATTTTAAAGTTTTCCTTACTTGGTGCTTGTAAAAGTAATCATAGAGCAGTGCGTAGCAGATATTATGGATTGATTTATTAACAATGTTGGTTCTCTTTTGCTTTTTTTCTACAGTTTAGAAAAAAATTGATAACTGACCTGGAAAAGATGAAAGAATGTAATTTTACTTCAACTAGAAATTCAGAATTGGAACAGCAACATACAGTTATCAGGTCGGGAAAGTAATTAAAAGTTTTTTGAAAAGAATTTATGGTTTTAATTCTGCTTCGAATTGATCAACGTTCCTTGAAAAGATACATTTTCCCCTCTAAAGCTCAATTTTCAAATAAAACTTTGTTCAAATTGGATTAAGTTGGAAAATAGTAGATAAAGCAGAAACTGAGAAACTATCATATTGAGATAGAAACTCAATTTAATTCATTGGGAGTTTAGAGATTTTTTAATTAAAATTTAGCCTATATATTACATCGTGAGAAAAAATCCAACATAAAAGTATAATGTAAAACATGTAATAAGCAGAAAGCAAGAATAAGCTTAAAACATAGAAATTTTCGACCGGAGAACCATGAAAATTATGTTGTTGAAGCAACAGAGAGATAATCAACAGTTTTGAACAAGAATTTTATGGTCAATTTTAGCCAAACAATGTTCAATTTTTATCAATGATCTGAAACCTAATATTATTAATAATGTTAAAAACGTCTCAGAAGTGGTAATTTTTGTACAAGTTTGGATTATTCTATTAGAAAAAACCGAGGAGCAGCTGGATCATGGAGTTCGATCTAGAAATTTCAATGAATATTGCTCTTATTGTTCAATTGAATTGAGATTCTTAGGTAAATTCTCCTTAAATTGAACAAAAAACAAGTTAATTAAACAAATGAAAGGTTAAAAATGGAAAACTTTGGATAAATTTGACTAATTTTTTCTTCTCGAAAATAACGATTAATTACACTATTTTCCCGAATCGATTCATCTAATATGAGCTTCACATGTTCAGAGCATTATGTAAACCACTTTTTTGCTAAATTTAGGGTGAATTTTATCGTGTTTCGTTATTTTGAGAGAAAATTGTCGAAAAATCCATATTTCTATTCGAAGTTTTGTATCAGTGTTTCAACCTGATGCCAATTGAAATACAATTTGAGCTTAATTTTAAACCCTAAACGTATTTATTTTTTATTCAATTAGGTCTGAAGCAACAAAAAACTAGCCAAAACCTAGAGGTTTCTGCAGTTCTTTCAGAAAAAAATTGCAATTTTTTCCAAAAACTATGAAACTTTTCAATTTTTTCCTAAAACTTGAAATTTTTGCAATTTTTTTTCAAAAACTTGAATTTTTTCGAAGTTTCAGTAGGTTTCAGCATAGTTTCAGCTGGATTGAGAACTGATTTAAAAAGTAAGATTATCTAATAAAACAGATTTTAAGTCAAATTATATCAAATCTTATCGTGTTCTGAAGTTTTTTGAAAAAATTTTCAATTTTTTTGAATAAAGTTCCAAACTTTTGCCCATCTTACCATTGACTTACCTTGAACCAAAAAAAGCATAAAAATTTCAATACACAATCTACACGTAATACCCACCAATTACATAAAGCGTATTGAGGTTTTTGCGAAAAAACTAGACATTTCTACACAAAAATTCAAAAAATACCGTTTTTCTTACCATTTTCTTACCATCACACTGAAACCTTTCCATTCCCTATCTTAATACATTGGGAAACATATTCCCTATCCTAATGAGTTCTCAATTCCCTACACTGAATTCTTATAGAATTACCAATATTATAAGATTTTTTTGCGGAATCCGGTTTTCAAGTCCTGGCTTTTAAATTCCGCATTGCTATAGACAATAATTCCATTTTTAAAAATTGTTCGTGTGCAAATTCAGCAAAAAACAATTGCGAATTCCCTTTTAAATTAGCGGAAGCCACTTACATTTTCGGGTTACTCGTACAAATTTTGCATTTTCCACATGCAAAGAACAACTAGCTATATTCGCCTGTTGCTGAGCCCGCTATAAAACAAATGCGCCGACAAAACTTGCGTTACAGGTATATGTATGCCGAATCCACGCAAAATTTGTTGGTAGTATACACATACTTTTTAGAACATGTTCAAAGTTTTGACTCTGGAATCCATGAACATCCAGTGCACAGTTTTGCCTCCTAATGATATCCTGGATCCTTTTTATGTATCTCACCTCAATGTCATTATAAGCGCACTCATTTTCAGGTATCGTCGCGATGACATCTAATGTCGTTTCTATGGTCTCGTCAAGCTTCTCTACAGCTGCAGAAATTTTGAAGTTGTCTTTTTCTGTTTCACGGTCGGTTTCATTTTGTGTAATTTCAGCTGCTAAATTATCCAACTAAAAAATTTATGGTTAATACAAATTTTGTAGCTTTCTGTCATCTCGAAGTTATGTAATCAGTTTAAAGCACTAGATTACACTCTCCATTCCATTCGCTAATAATTTTTTACCGGAAAAAATGTATCAATCATTTCCGATTCCAAGACCAAATCAAGAAATGTTTGGTAAACATTCGAATCGAGAATAAAAAAGTAATTATGCAAACTTTTAAAAAGAAGTAAATTACAGGAAATTCATCAACTAACCTGCGGCTGTTCCATTTGCTCAGAGTGATCATTAACATCATAGGTTGATTTTTCTTGAGAGTCAGAAATATTCGTCTCAGATTCATTATCAGAGGGATCTAAAATTTCCATTCTAACCATTTCTTGTTTCTCCATATCGAAACTTAGCAACTTTCCCGTTTATTATAACTCGCGCAAAAATTAGCCAATTCGACTTTTGTAAATAAATTCAACAGAACAATTGAAAAAAATTGCAAAGCACTTGTTGCTATATAATAAATACTCTTCAAAGTAAACCATGTTGCAAATTAAGTGTTGTATTTTCCAAACATCAATGTTTTGTTTGCCTCTGGTTGGAATATCTCACAGAAAAACAACGATGAAGGATATCCCAGTTTTGATACAACAACATACGCCTATCCTTTCATTATACACAGCAATAAATTGTACCTACGATCGCTTTTTTTGCGCAGAGGGCATAGACGCTTAATCCGTAAAAAGATCATTAATGAAATTTATTCCAAACAAGAGCGCTCGTATACCAGGGCAATGCCCTAAATTTTCCGACTGACTTAAAACCATTTAAAAATTGTTTTTTTTTGGTTAATAATTGACAAAATATTTGAGAAAAAGATGTTTTCCACTTTTTCTTCTGCTTATCCCCCCACACTCTAGGTAAAATTATAAAGGTGTGTTGAGCGTCTCCTATTGTGATAAAAGGATCAAAATGCTGGCCTCAATTCAATTTGGAACGCATTAACTCGCTTCTTACGCGTGTTATAAGTATATAGTTGTACTTTAATTGTCTATAACTGTCAAACTTTATGAAACTTTACCAAAAATTAGCAACTTTACAAAAAATAATCGAAGGTAACAATATTTAGCAGACGCTTGAAAATCTGTCGAAAACATCTTTTTGACCAAACATAAATTGACTGAATAAAAAACCACAGCACGCAAAGTTATTACGCACTTCCTTCGAAAGTCGGAAAAATAAATTTACTCTCACATAAATTGACTATCAAATTATTGGGTCGATTTTCGAAGAAAACGGAATTTTTATGCTTGGCGTGGTTTGTTTTGTTCAGTCAATTTTCGATGATCGAAGTAATAATTTTTTATAAAAAACCATTCAAGGTATCGACATCTGAAATATCCTAACTCCAATCATTTTTTTGCAAAAGATTTTGGAGTTTGAAAATTGCCTATTTGGCCATGCTCTGGACTAATTGATGTGGGCTTTGAAGATTTTATTCATAATGCTGCAAGCGTAACGTGATTTTGTTATGCGTGGGGAATAATTCAAAATCGTTCCAAATTGAATTCAGGCTAGTTAATTGGTCATATTAATTTCGTACGACTCACACTTCATCTTTGATATTGGCCAAAAACTATTCGATAAGGACTATAGTGCAGTTGGACCATTCGTGTATCTTTGCCATGATATACGAGCAATGTTTTTTGAGCATGTGATTTTTGCGGTTTTTCGTTCTGTTTTTGCGGAGTGTTTATGTTCTTGGGGTTTTGTTATCTTCAGTCTATTTTCAACTTTTTTCAATTTTTGAATTCAATTAGTTTTTTAATTGTTCTTACTAATTGGCCTTAAATTGTTCTTGCTAATTGGCCAGTGCAGTGATTTTTAAAGGAATCTTTTATATCTTCTTAAAAATGTAGGGAGAAAAATTTGACACAAGTGATTTCTTGCAATTTTATTGGGGCTTGGTATTATTCAATTAGGCCAGTTTGAATTTTTTTAAACAAAAAATCCCCTATATTAGAATTTAATTGCTAGAAAAATTTCCTACTCCTATCTTTTTGAAGTTGTTCCCGGGAATTGCAGTTGTTTCATGAATACGAAACACCAATAAGTTTCAAATTGGCGTATAGAGATTTTAACAAAAGTATTCTACCGACTTTTTGCTTCTAGCTTGAATTTTTGCCCGTAGTTTCAGCTATTGAAAGGATATTATGTCGGTAATTGAGTGAGATTCTTTCACTTGTGATTCCGTTAATAACTTTTGTGTCGTAAACCTATAAAAATTTGCGTGCAGTGTTTTTCGGCGCTATATTTGAAAAACTGGCCCAAAACGTGAGGCAATAGTGCAACATTTGAACTACTATCGCAAGCACTAGTTGAGGCGATAACGCAATGTTTGAAAATTCAGATATATATTTGTCGATTGCGAAATATTTAAACATAAAGGCAAAATTTGGAACACTAAAGCATTATTTGAAAGACTAGTGTGAAAAGTAAAAATGTGCAATAATTGAAATACCTGTCCAAAAATCGAAAAAGTAGTGCACCAATATTGTTGCTACTGTAGTAATTGATCCTTTGTGCAGTATTCGAAACAACGTGCAACAATCGGAACACTAGAGAACAAATGGATTTACATGAATAATAATCAAAACAGTTAAGCAAAACAATGAAAAGAGCATCAATTTTACAGAAAACAGTGCAATTTTTTTGAGAATGATACAATCTCTAACGCAATAAATGAAACTGAAAGCAAATTTTGAAACATATGTGGAAAATTTGATTTCTTTTTGTAATATTTGAAAGACAACTAAATTGTTTGAATTCTTAGTGCAACTTTTGAAGAGACAAGCGCAATATTTGAAACACTAGCGCAAAGGACAAGTGCACTATTAGTTCAATAGACAAGTGAAAATTTCGAAAAAAGTGCAATGTTTGAAACACTCGTGCGATAATTGAAACGCTAGTGCAATAATTGAAATACTCCAGCAACATTCAAAAAGTAAGTGCAATATTTGAAACACCAGTGCATCTTTTCAAACAGTAATGCAAATTTTGCAAATCTAAATTGCGAATGCTAACTCTACTGATGCTAAATTTACAAGGCAAGTGCCACATTTAAAAGACAAATGCAATAAATGAAACGGTTCTGCAATTATTTGAAACCCTAGTGTAAAACTTGAAACACCAGTTCAGTATTTAAAAACTAGTGCAATATTGGAAACTTTAATGCAATATTGAAAATACTAATGCAATTATCGAGATATTAGAGCAATTTGAAAAATACTAGTTCAGATTTTTTCAACGACTGGTGCAATATATATAACTCAGAGCAAATTTTGATTTACTGCTGCAAAATTGATTTACTAGTGCAATATTTGAAAAACGAGAAAAATATTTTACAATTTAGTGCATTTTTTTAGACTCAGCTGCAACAACTGAAACTTTTTTTGCAAAATCTAGCTGCAAAACCCTTGTGCAATAAACGAGAGACAAGTGCAATAAATGAAACACTAAAGCTTTATTTGAGAGCTATATAAATTTTTGAAAAATTATTGCATGATTTATAAAACGTGTGCACTATATGAAAAACTAGTCATGTTTTAAAAAACAAGTGCTTTAATTGAAACAGTAGTAGCATATTTAAAAAACATGCAAATTATAAAATTTTAGTGCAATTTTTAAACGACAAGTGCAACATTTGACACCAGAGCAAAAACGTGCAATATTGAAACACCACTGCAACGTTTGAAATACAACTGCATGATTTGAAGAATTATTGTCATTTCATGTAGGAAAGAAAAGATCAATATTTAAAAAAAGAATGAAATATCGATAGATTAGTGCAGTATTTCAAAAAACACTAGTGCAAATTTTGAAACACTACTGCATAATTTGAAGCATTTTTGCAATAATGGAAATACTAATACAAAATTGAAACACTAGAGTAATTTTAAATTTAGTAGAAAAATTGAAAGAAAACTAGAGCAGTTTTTAAAACAGAAAAGCAGTTTACGAAATCTTAACTCAATATGTGAGTCACTAGTGCAAAATTTAAAAAATACTACTGCAACAATGGAGCAGCACTAGCGCAATAATAGAAACATAAGTAAAGTATTGGAAATACTAGAGAAAAAGGCGAGAAATTAGAGAAGTTCTTAAAACACTTTTGCAATTTTTGAACCTCAAGTGCATTATTTGAAAAACAAGTGCAAAATTGAAATACTAGTGCAATGGTTCATTTACAAGTAGATTATTTGAAAACCTCTTGGATAACATGAAACGCTAGTGCAAGTTTTGAAAAACGAAAAACTATTTCACAAACCAGTGCAATTTTCAAAACTTAAGTGCAATAGTTAAAACACACCGCAAAATTTAAAACACTAGTCCAATAATTAAGAAAACATGTGCGATTTTTAAAACACAAGTGCAATTTTTGAAAAACAAGTGCAATATTTGAAACACCAGTGCAAAAAAGTGCAATATTTGAAACAGCAGAGCAACGATTGGAAAATAACTGAGATAATTGAAGAACTAGTGCCTTTACGAAAGAAAAGATCATTTTTTGAAAAATTAATGAAACATCAAAATAATAGTGAGTATTTGAAAATTAATTGCAAGATTCCAAACTATATTGCAATTTTTGAAACACTACTGCAAAATTCTAAAAACTTGTGCAATAATGAAAATGCTAATACAAAAATTGAAACACCAGAGCAATTATTAATTTTTTGTAGAAAGATTAAGAGAAAACTAGAGCAGTTTTTAAAACAGAAAAAAACAATTTTTGAAACCTTCGCTCAATATTTGAGTAACTAGTGCAATTATTGAACCGGAGAGAAAAATTTGAAACAATTCTGCAAATAATTTTTACCCGTGCAATAAATGAAAAAAGTGCAAAGTTGAAACACTTGTGCAATAATTAAATTACAAGCAGGATATTTGAAACACTTTTGCAAAATTTGAATTCCTTTGCAATACTTCAAAACAAGTAAAATTTCAAAATACTCTTGCAGTGTTTGAAAGAAATTTGCATCAAATTGAAACATTAGTGCAATATTTGAAACAATAGTGCAATATTTTTAACATTGCTGCAATAATTGAAAAATCAGAGCAAGTTCAATCTCTCAAGTTCTACTGCACTATGAAACATAAGTGAAGTAATTGAACAGTTAGTGCAAAATTCGAAAACCCAAAGCAATTTCAATCAGCAGTGCATTTTTTGAAACACAACTGCAATATTTGAACTGCACAATGTTTGAGTAACTAGTGCATTTTTCGAAACAATAAGCACTATTTGTAACAATAAAGAACTATTCCAAAAAATAATGCATTACAAGGAACACTGATGCAATATTTAAAGTAATATGGCAAAATCTGAAACAATAGTGCAAAAATTTAAAAAAAAACTACTGCATGATCAGAAGCAGTAATGCAATATTGGAATTAATAAAGCA